ACCTACGTGCCACCTCCGGGGACCTGCTGTCCTCGCAGCCAGCTCGTGCTCTGCTCGAGCAACCACGTGCACCAGATCCAAGCCAGCCCCACGACGCTGCCCTGGCCCAAATCCCACGGAGAAGCACCCGGCGTACCGGGAGCACCCATCCCCTCCCATCTGGCCACAGTTGGGCTCTTTGCCCTGGGGCTCCAACTCTGCTCGTGCTGCAGCCGGATGGGTTTTGCCAGGGAATGCAGGATGGGGCCCTGACGTGAGCTGTTTGCAGCCTGCTCGCACGGAGCCGGTGGCTTGGGAAGGGCCCAGGCTCCCCTCCCGCCTGGCCTTGGGCTCTGTTTGCTAACGAGGGGGGCGGGTGCGTGTTCAGCCCCCAGCCCCAGCTCTGCTCCTCACCCAGCGCCAGGTCCAGAGCCGTTCAGAGCCGTCTGCCAGCGTGAATCAGCAGCACCCACTTAACCATTGCCTCCCAGGGTCCACATCGGCTCTGGAGGGGGGGGACGCATCGGCCACGCCTCAGCCGAACCCCTCTGCACCCCCCTTGCTCCCTGGGCTGCGACCATCGCCAACCCCACGGGATCATTTCCCTGCCCCAGCCCCATGGATTGCATGGATCAGCCGGTGGGAAACCTGCAGCCACCCAGCCGGGTCAAAGCTGAGCAGCAAACCAGCAGCAAACCAGCAGCAAACCAGCCCCTTGCAAAGCACACCGGCATCACTGGCTTTGCCCCAGGGCCTGCCACCGTGCCGGGGGCATCTCCCCCGCTGTGCTTTGCCATAGGAGCAGCACATGGGCATTGGTGCCCGTGCTGGATGTGGCACTGAGGTCGGGTCCTGCCGGCGGCCGATGCAGCAGCACTGGAGCCGGCGCGGCGCGGTGGGAGATGCTGCTGCTGGGCTCCCCGGAGGGTTTGCGGGCAGTCGGGCTCTGCTCATGGTACTGCCCTGGGCTTCCTTGGCCATTTCTAGTCCATTTGTCTTTACCACAAGTGGTTTTCATGTGGTGATAGGAGTGGCGTGTCATGGTGGCATTTGGTGCTACACCCCCTGACAGAGCCTCGACCGGCTCTGTGCCAAGATACAGGAGAGCAAATGACCTTCCCCACCGCCAAAAACCTGAACCCCAGCCCAACTCCCTCCCCTGAACCCCTGCACTCACCCTCAGCCCCATGTGCTTACAAAAGGAGCCAAAACATAGCAACCATTTCACATGGCAGCCCCATGGCCTGGCTGATTTAACGGGCCAGGTCAGTCCTGGTGTTTAATTGCAATAAAACCAGCTCAGACCATTGGGTCCTTTCCAATTGCTGAGCTTCGGCTTTGCTGCCGGGAGCCCCCGGGTAACTGCAAGGCCACAGCATGCAGCAAATTTCCATCCTGTCCCCAGCTCACGTGCTCCAGCAAACAAGGATCCCCTCGGCTCGGGTGGCGCCGGCCGGGCTGGGCTGCGGCTCCGTGTCGGGGTGCTGCGGCTGCAGAAGGGGGGGACCAGGGAAATGTCGTGCATTGCATCGGTTTGTGCTTGGTGTCGGGGAGATCCCTGCTTGCTCTGATTCCCACAGATCCAGCGCAGCTGCCAGCATGGCTTCCCCCTTCCCTGGATGCTTTCAGCAATAATCAGTCGCTGACTCCCCTCCCAGTCAGGGGGGGCTCACACCCAGCCCTGTCCCCTTTACCAGGAGTGTGAACCTCCTGCCCCGGGACAGGATGGGGACAGGGATGGGGACGGGGACGCAGGCTCGCTCTGTGCTCCGCTCCCCTCCTCGCGGCGCGTCTGCCACCATCCTGCCTTGGCCAAGGGCTCTCTGCAGCAGGAGAGCCCACCCCAGCAGGCTCTGCAGCCCCTCCTGGCCCTTGGTCCCCGCTGGGCTCAGCTGGTCTGCAAGCAGGCAGGATGGGGACACGTGCAGGCAGCTGCCTGTTCCCTGTGTCACGTCCCCATCACCTGCTTTGTGGCTGCAGCCAAAAAGCCTGGAGGCAGAGCAACCTGCCGCCCGGACTCAGCCTCTCCCCGGGGCTGGGGCTGGTCCCTGCACCTCACTGGGGACCCCAGAGCCCAGGATGGGGCACCCCTGTCCGACAGCTCACCCCGAGGCCACTGCACCGGGGGTTCCACATTTAATGGCGGTGTTATGGGCAAAGGCAAAGCTCTGGCAAAGGCCAAGAGAGCTGGGAGAGTCAGGGCGCAGCTGGCCACCCCGGGGGACCCAGCTTGTCCCTCTCGCCCTTCCCGGGCCCTGGGGAGCCGCAGGAGGCAGGCACCCATCCAGCACGGATGCTGGAGCAGCCCCGTCCCCGCAGTGTCGGCAGCGCCCGCCCTCTGCATTGCAGCAGCCTCCTGCCTGCGCAGGGTCGGCGGTTGTGTCCCCGGCCCCCGTGGAGGGCAGAGACCCCCCCCGCGACGCCAGCAGCGCCAGGAGCTGCCCAGTGGGTGAAATGAGCTGCAGCAGTGCTCAGCGCAGAGTGGGCTGATGGGGAGAGAGATGCAGGGGGGCGGCTGCTGTGGAAGCAACCCAAGGGCACACGGGGGCAGGAGCTGGGACAAACTTCATCATCACTCGATGCCAAACACTCTGCAGCTTCCCTCCGGCAGCTTCGTGGAAACGTGGGGATGGGGGGGGGGGTGTGAAGCGGAGCCCCCCTCGGCCGAGCGGGCCAAGTGGCAGCGCATGGCTGGGGCTGGCAGCTCGCCACGCCGTGGCTCGGCTCAGCCGCCGGCACTGCGGGCGCCGGGCATCACCGCCAGCCGCCTTGACGCGAAGCGATGGGCTGAGCTGGCGCGACCACGGCGGCGGGCGTGGGGCTGGCGTGTGCTGCGCAGGCAGCCAGGGCGGCCCAGCGTGGTGGGGGGCACACAGGCATGCGAGGACGGTCGTGCATGCGGGTGCATGGCAGGAGAGCGGCAACAAGGCAGCAGCGTTAGCTGGGAAGGGATGCAGAGCCAAAAATAACCCCCAGGCTGCGGCTCAGACCAGGTAACGGCGAGGAGCGGGAGCTGCGACAGCCATGTCCCGCAGTGCCCCACAGCCTCGGCTGCTGGCGGCTTGGTGGGGGCAGCTGGGGCTGGCTCCTGTGCCCATGGGTCCCAGGGTCCCCCCAGCCATGGGTGTGTTCCCTCCCTAGGGTCCCTGCGCTGGCCTCGAGCAGGGCTGGGGCTGTCACCCCAAGGATGCCCTTGCTGTGCCAGCGCAGCCTCTGCAACAAAATGAGGACCCGGAGCCCAGCAGCACAAGCAAAGGCCCTGGCGCTGAGCTGTGCCCAGGGTTTGCAGGAGAGGCGACCACATGTGGCACCCTGCGGGGTCCCCTGGGGGTTGTGCACCCTGTGGGTGCACCAGGGCAGCCCATGGGTGTTTGGGTTGGGTGCTTTCATGGGAGGACGGTGGTTGTGCCGTGGGTGCCAGGCAGGCGTGGGCGCCGTGTGCTGCCGGCTGTGGGGGGACGGTGCTGGCTGCGCTGCGCACCACCGCGGTCCCCCCTCCATCTGCGTCTCGGCGGCTGAGCAAGGGACAGTCACGCGTTTATTTTTAACCGGATGGGGAGGGCGGCGGGGATTGGTGCCTCCCTGGTTATATCACTAAATCCCTGCCAGGCCCTGTTAGTTCCAGCACAGCGAGCCCTGCGCCGTGCTCTAGTAACCGTTTCGGCCCCCCATCCTCCTGGGGCCGTGCCCTGCTGCCTCCCTGCCCTGGCTCACAGGCTCCTCGGGGCCAGCTGTGCGCACAGCTGGAGCATGCATGCACCCATCAACTGTTCCCCACGGGTGGGTACTGGGGCACCAGGACCCCACAACCCCAGCCCTGCCCTCCCACCCCATAGCCCTCTCCCAGGCGCAGGGTGGGATGCAGGCAGCCAGGTCTCCCATTGCCTGCTCCACCTCCCTGGGAGAAGTGATGGTGCACGGGGATCACGGCCACATCCCGCTCCCGCAGCCCCTTGGGGACAGGGCAGGAGGAAACTGGGGCAGTTCATGGCCGTTTTGTCCCCATCCTGGTGGCAGATGCCACGCGGGACAGGCCCAGCGCTTCCCCATGGGAGCACTGACCGGAGCTGGGGCAGGACAGGGATGATGAGGATGCTCATGGCCACCACGGTGCCCTCTCTGTCCCCATGTGATGGCACCCACCAACCCCCAGCCACATCCCCAGCCGCGGCTCTCGGCAAAGCGGCAAAGGGTTAAGCCATGCAGCGGGGCCACGTGATGCTCCGGGGATGCCGTTTTTCTGAAGAGCAGGACGGATTACGGTGGAATATCAGGAGGAGAATTTCTTCGGGCGGCGCATCCCCCCGCGGCCCTGCCACGGCCTCTCGCCCCAC